CGATTCCGTTTTGACTTGCGGTGACTGATTTTAAAACAGTTCATTTAGGGATTTACTATGGGCTTTCGGCAGCATGTGATTTTTTACCGGAGCACAGGTGGCCTTACTGTATTAACGACTGGCGGTGAAGTTGATTCCGAAAAAAAACATGCGAGAGTGCTCCGCATCAAACAAAGTGCGCCATATAATGAGAGATGAGCGCATGACTTTATAGTCCCTGAAGATGGGTAATCGAAATGACTAAACAGTCGGTGGCCGATCTCATGAAATGTTAACCGAAATTCCGGTCAGGAAGTTCCATGATGGTTCCAACTCGGCAGGGTGTCGGCTTTTGAATGTACTTCTTTTCGACCTTCTGTAAAAACCTTACCCGGTAAAAATGGCTGCTTAAATAGCAAGAATTTTCTACACTGATTTTTGATGCCCTTGTAAGTTCAAATATACGCTATAGACAATATATGCAAAAGATCCTCCCTTCTACTCTTTTAATAGTAATTTATATTTTCATCAAATTTTATGTCCAAAAAATAGCACCTTTCGGTTTTAAAAAGTTTTTCGATACTCTAATAATTTTGAGTCCGATCTGCCTTTGCATTTGCGTTTAGCGTTTTCGATCTACTACGTGAATACTTTCCGCGTAATAAAAATTATACATCCCCCCAATGTATTTAAGAAGATGTCACATAGAGTTTAAAATGTTTCGCAATTTATGTGGACTATGTTGTATACTTCATGAGGAGCGCTACCAAACAGACAGATGCGGTGCTGTATGGAAGGACATTGCGCGGTCTCAAAAATCGCATAATTCGGAACTTTTTAAAACAATAGAATAATCTTTCTACGAGTATAAAATGTGGATATGACTGATTTGCTACCAAATAAGCGAAATAAGGCCTATTTCTGCGCATTTTTCATAAAATATATTTGAATTTACAAGGCGAAGGAGAATCAATGTAAAAAGCAAGTAGTTATTTTTTGCCAAGTACGATTCTTACAGGTCGCAAAGAAATGAATTCAAAGGTCAAAATCCTGGTGAATCCGAAATATAATGGACTATGCCTCAAAACAATCAATATTACAGCCCCACCTAAGTAATCCTTCCTAATCGGAAACGCGTACTAGAACTTCGGCGAACATTTCGTGAGATCGTTTACTGGTTTAATGGGAAACGTCGAACCTTCAAAAAACTTTTAAAACGAAATAACCGCTAGTGCTGCCTAGACCGCTCCATTGTCCAGAACGCAATACAACGTTCCGCCGTGTAATTATCGTGCCATCTGCTCCAAAATCCAGCATATTTTTTTGACAGTCCAGCGCCGTCGACCATACCGAAGGCCGGTTTGGGTCTACAAACGTAGCATAGAGTCTGACCCACATTTTTGTCGGGTGACAAAAACCACGTCGATAATTCCGCGGTTCCTTAGCAATCCCCACTGATTTTCTGTTAAGTTGTCTTTTTTCGGTTGACGGTCCATGCAATTGTTTAGGCCACGAATGAAAACACTTACCGTGACACTGAGAAAGGGGATGACTCTGTGGTTGACCCAGATTTACCACTTTCCTTTGTGTTCTTTACATGTGGACGTTGGTGACACCCTTTGAGTTTGGCGGGATCGGTTTCTGTCTCACATCCCGCTTAGTAGTCAGTTGAGCCTGTGCATGGGATAAGTTCATCGTTCATACAGAGTTCAGCTGTGAGTGAGTAAGTGATTGGTACTTTGCTGCTGAACACCCGCTGTAAAGATTTGATATTCTCTTGGAGCAAGGACAGACGATCGAAGTCTGTAATCGTTTCTATTTGATGGAGTCGATCCACTGGGGAGGGTCGATTGAGGATACGTCAGAAGTGTTCAGTCCAGCATTCCAAACCTGAGACAGATCTGACAGTGGATTTGCGCCGTCTTGTCTGTGCTGTGGTGCACTCTCCCTGGTTAGGGGTCGTAGACTGTTTTGATTGCTTTGGAAATTTTCTTCATTTAATTGAAGCCTGTTTACCCTTGCATTTTTTCAACCCTACGATGCAACTAAGTATTTTATGTCACCCTCTTCAACGTTAGGTTTCGATATTGAACGTATGCCGCTTTATTGGCATCGGTTCGAGTGCTGACGTAGGCCGTGCTCGGCCTGTTACCCCGGAGAGTATATGGCGGATTTCTTAATGTTTGTCATCAAACCTATTCTTGTGCCGATTACGCCCATTACCCAAGAGCCTCCGGGGGACGGATTGAATGACGTCCTCGCGCTTTCCTTCATTGAGCCTCGTCAGTGGCATTTCCTTTGAAAACTTACATTCGCTGCAATAGGAGACTCATGTGATTGCTAACATCGAAGTAGTGTTCGAACGCACCCAATAATACAGTATTTGACTCACCCAGTGTTCGTTTACCCTGCGGACGCTTGTGGGGCGTTAATTGCAGCCGCATCCCGGAGACGACAAGGCAGTGCTCCGTCCGGGGGGGGGGGGCTGCACGATATATTTCGTCGGTCATGCCTTCGAAAGGGAAAGTAGTTCAGCATATGTCGGTTACGTAAGCGAGGATGTACCCAGGTCGTCTCCTCTCCTATCGGAAGGCAGAAGAGGGCGCTGGTTGAGACAAGGTTGCGTTCTGTGCGGGCCTGTTGGATGAGAGACTGATCATCGCTACTGCAATGGCCGAACACATGTCTCCCTAGCACTTTTTCTCAGATAGCGTGGTCTGCACCAACGCCTATACTGAAAACACCAGGAGCAATCAATTTGTCCGCCTTCGGCACAGTCACGAGGAGGGCGCGCAGATCTTCGGAGCATCTGTCCGTTAAGTCGTCAGGACTTAGCATTGGGTGGCACGGCCATTGAAGAACGTGACGAATTTGCCCCCGCAGACTGACGGCCTCGTGGTTATGAGGCGAACGTTGCTAGACTGCGGCAGGCAGGATAGCCGTCTCCCGACATTATTATTGAAGGTGGAAACGACTACGGTGTCCAGCCATTCTGTCTTTGAAGTTCTTCATAGACGAATGTGTATCCGGTGCCTAGCTACTTTAGTTATCCCTGACCGGAGAAGGCAAGCTCATTCAGAGTCGTCATGCCCACTACATAGCGTGCCAGAGCTGTCCTGCCTTCCATTCAGTTGATCCTTGCATTTCTTAAAAGTGGATGACTAAACACAGACATTAGAGTCAACAGTGTTCTCAAATTTCGAGGCAAATAGTTCCCCCAGTGCTATCAGCGATGCCAGTAGAATGAACAGTGGTCTTATATGTGACATCTTTGTGACGTAATTTCTTCAACGTCGGCTGTCCACGAAACGGGCACAAAAGTGAATCGGCGAAGCTTACCAGCAAGAACCGGGAAGACTGAAATAGTCAGTTATGATTTTCTAGTCGTTTTCGTTGTCGTCACGTACAGTAGGTGGGCTAACTCATGAAATGTCAACCGGAATTTCGAAAGGCGTTCTCGTTTTGGAAAGATTAATTAAGTAGGGTTGTAAAACTAATCATAATGTAGCATATTTCTATAATGATCCAGTTACCTCAGGGTGTCGGCTTTCGAATGAACTTATGCTCGACTGCCTGCAAGATCTATACTCTGTAAAAAATGACTACTTATGTAGCATGCAATTTTGTCATTGATTTTCGATGCCCTTGAAAATTCAATTATATTTCGTGGAAAGCATGCATAAAAATATTCATTCTTTTACTTATTCGGTAGAAAACCACGTCTACTTCCGATTTTATATTCGAAAGAAGTGTATAATTCGGTTTTAAAAAACTTTTCTAATTCCCGAACAATTTTGAACCCGACCTGCTGTTACACTTGCATTCAGGGTTTCAAAACTACAAGCCTTATATTTTATGGTTAAGGAAAACCACGCATTTCTCTACGGTATTAAGAGGAGACCATATGGGGTTTATAAAATTACGCAGTGAATTTGATCAATATTGTTCACTTTACAAGCCACATTCGTAAATGCAGATACATGACCTTTTATGGACGACCATTTCACGGTATTAAAAAATCTCACAATTAGAAACCTTTTTAAACCGAATTATACACTTCTTTCGAGTATAAAATCGAAAAAAGATGTAATTTTCTACCGATAAATTAAAAGAATGAATATTTTTATGCATGCTTTCCATGAAATATAATGGAATTTTCAAGGGCGTCGAAAATCAATGAGAAAATTGCCTGCTACATAAGTAGTCATTTTTTGCAGAGTATAGATCTTGCATGCAGCCGAAAATAAGTTCTTTCGAAAGCCGACCCTCTGAGGTAACTGGATCATTATAGAATTATGCTGCATTATGATTAGTTTTACAACATTACTTAATTAGTCTTTCCAAAACGAGAACGCCTTTCGAAATTTCGGTTGACATTTCATAAGTTAGCCCACCTACTGTAACTGTACTATAACCGCCCTCGGCACTGTTGCGAGAATGGCGGGCAGTCTTCGAAGAATCTCTCCTTCGTGTCGTTATGACTTGCCGTTGGAGAAGCGTGGGCGCCGATGATGACGGAAAAATTTGTATCCGTAGGGTAGCAGCCTCATGGCCATAAAGCAATTGCCGATACAAGCGAAGATGCGAGTTACAGGAACTAGTTGATCAGAAGAAGAAGCGATCACTGGAACAATGGCTTTATTCGCCTGACATTTCGGATTCTCTCTTGAATCCATCATCAGAGACAGTGCGCTAATTGCTTGATGGCCGGCATGCAAGTTGTTAATTGCTGACATCTCATCACCCGTGTTGGATGCTGGCGTGATGATTGCTCGGCCATCTGGCTCACCGGCTTGCGCGCTCCTCGAGTGGTCAATTGCTTTGGCCAGTCTATGCCTCAGGACAGAATATGGAGTGGGGATGTCGTTGCACTTGTTGATAGATTGAGGTCCCGTGAACCATGACTCAAGCAACTCGCGGCTCACACGATTATCCCCTCTCGCGAGAATTTCGGCCTCATCGAACTTGAATGTATGGCCGGGTCTCGTCGAATGGGCCGCGACCTGAGAGTTGGCGTCATTTCACCGTATAGCTGCCACGTGTTCGGCGATTCGCGTCCGGGGCAGTCTTCCAGTTTCTACGACGTAGTTGCTTTGTCCGCAACTGCACCAGATCCGGTAAACGACTCCAGATGTTTCTTGCCGTGGCAGTGAGTCTTTTGGTCTCATCACTTGACGCCTCATGGTGGCCTCCGGTCTGTGCCCAACTCCAACCCCAAGTGGTGCAAGAAGGTGACTAACGACCTCGGAGACGTTCTTGATGTACGGAATCGCTCGCCAGAATTTGGGATCGGCGCGATCTTGTCGCTCGTCTCGTTTGCGCAGGCACTGGTTGACGAAGTTGCGCGGGTAACCGTTTTCTCGGAAAACCCGTCGAAGATATTGGAATTCGGCAACCTTGTCTTCCGGTTCACTGCAGTGCGTCTCAACACGCCGAAATAGCGTCCTTACGCAACTGCGTTTGTGGCTGATTGGGTGGTTACTGTTGAAATTCAGAATTTGCGTCGTGTTCGTTGCTTTTCTGAACACTTTGGTCTTTAGGCCACCACAATATTTGCGACAGACGAGGACATCAAGGAATGCCAGCTGGTTATTCTCTTCCTCCTCCATCGTAAATTTTATGTCCGGGAAGACGCTGTTGAGACGTTCTTTGAACGTTAGCACCTGATCCCGTTCGATGACGACGAAGGTATCGTCCACATACCGAGCCCAGAATTTCGGTCTGTGGAGTTGGAAGACCAGCGACTCCAACCGCTTTAGCACCGCCTCGGCGATGTATCCCGAAATCGGCGAGCCCAATGGTGTTCCCTTCACTTGCTCGTAGATTGTTCCGTCAAACGTGAAGTACGTCCTGAAACAGAACTTTAGGAGCTGAAGGACTTGGGCATGTCCGAGACGATTCTCCGTTTCATCGTATTTGTTTCGTAGAAATAGCTGTACGGTCTCGCAAGCCGGTAAGCCAGATGGCCGAGCAATCATCACGCCAGCATCCAACACGGGTGATGAGATGTCAGCAATTAACAACTTCCATGCCGGCCATCAAGCAATTAGCGCACCAGCGGGCAACAATCCTTGATGAAGAGAGCACGGTTAATTGCTGTAGGTATGCGGTAGCATGGCGACCGCATCCTATAAATATTGCGACTTCCTGTACACTAGCCACCCTTTTCTGCAACTGTCTCTGATGATGGATTCAAGAGAGAGTCCGAAACGTCAGGCGAATAAAGCCATTGTTCCAGCAATCGCTTCTTCTTCTGATCATGAAGCGATTTCTGACTGCTTGTAAGAGACAGGACATCCGTCTCGCGACTTCGTTCTTGGCGCTTATTGGCGACTCAGGTGCATCATCGCTCTGAAGATGCATTATCTGGTGTCCAATTCGTCCAGTTGTCCTATATCGAAGCGGTGAATTTTACTGAGAGCCACCCTCACATCACCTTTCATCCCACCAGTTCAAGCACAATCAGAGCTGTCCGTCCTTTTTGGTCGGTCAGTTACTGAACTATCTAAGCGCAAAGAAAGACATTCTGGACTGTCATGTTCAACATAGTTACTCTGGCGACTTCGGGTAGACACCATGGCGGAAACCGGCGTTTGTATTTTGTCGCTGCAGATGTATCATATGCTGATGATACGGATAGCTTGACCTATGCGTAAAAATCAAACAGAAATTCGAACGACTTGCCGAGCTAGACGGCTATCAGTTGACCGATTTTGCACTGTGTTACAAACCGCCTTCTCCACAACGGCGAGCCATGGCCATTCTGCAGATGGCGTGCTTTGTCAGCATTCTGTTACGTGACCGTCACTGAAGAATCCATCCTCGCGTCAGATCAACACATTCCCCACTGTGATAAATCCGACGCGCCATGACTTTTGACTTGGACGGCTGTTAGCTGGTGGGAAACTACATTCTTCACAAGACTAATGGTCTTGTTGCAAAGACTCTTGACGTGGCCACCATGACATTTTTACCTATGCGAGATCCGAGCCCTTAACAAAATGTGGCCTATAACACATAGACCGCGAATCGGGTCGTGTTTGGCACGTGTAGTCGGTCCGCCTGACTTTGCACCTACTCCCAACCGCCTTGGCCATGTGGGAGGAGGAGGTGCTGCTGCGGCGGCGGCGGCGGCATCGCGATTCTGCTTTTCTACAAACCGACTGACATGGAAGTCACTGTTGCAAGATTCGCTTCGTGGGGGTAGCGGTGGATGTCGTCGACTTCTTACTGAGATGTGGTCGCTGAGCAAAGTGCAGTTTTAATGAGTCTCGGGTGAATGCTAGGCCGTGTATAACGACCGTGGAATGGAACTCCACATGCTGCGCGCCAATAAAACCATCCCTAACTCCCACACCATGTATCCCCAAACCTATCGCCCAGTATTTAGTAATCGTCGTAATATTTACTTGGCCATTGGCCTCCTGCGTAGGGCCTATTGGATCGGCATCTACACGTCTCTCGCCTGGGAGGCAAACCCCTGGTCCAGATAATTAATGACTCGGTTCCAAACACCCGTGATGGATGTTCAAGATGCCAATGCAACAGCTGCATCCTATAAATACTGCAATCCCTGTGCGGCCACAGTCTTCACTTGTTTACAAGGATGCTATGGTTAGTTAGTTACTTCTTGAAGTGTTTCAATGTCACTACCGATTCCAACTACTTCCATAAAAGACTTGAACTTCAAACATGTTTTTTACGCATTTGGTGAAATTACTATCTCACTGGAATGGTTGACTCGAAAAATAATACAACGAATAAGTTATACTGAGGGTCTAGGCTACTCGTGTCACAAGTAAAGTCAAAATATAGATTCTCGATGCAAGCCAGCAGGAATAGCTTTGGTTTAATTCCTAATTTACGAGCAGGTGTGGTATCCGGCATCTTGCCTCTGGCGTCTCGGGCAGCTGGGTCTAAATTTGGTGACAAAGCAGACGTGTGAAATGCAGCTTTGTATGTGAACTCTCCGTCTCTTAGTCCAGTAAACATCAATGAAGTCATCTTATACATAAAGTTAGCTCGGCGGAAATGACAACACACCAGGAGAGACTAGTTTACTGATGGAAACTCTCAACCCCTTTGGACAAAGCAATAAGTTATATAACTCCAGGGTCAGTCCGAGCGTCCTCGTTGACGTAAAACTCCGAACAGACTTCTAGGAATTGATGCACCCGTTGCCTGCTGTACAAATCTTTAAAAAAAACAAATGTGTACCTCGTTTGTCGCCTCTGCGCAGAGCGGCCGCATCGTCGAAGCAGTGTTACCCATTTTGAGTTTGTATCCTAGCCTAGACGCCCGCGTAGACCCTAACCATAAATAATTCCCGGCACAACGTTTATTATTCTGCCTATCAGAACTGTCTACTAGTCCCCTGAACATTCCGTACGATTATTAAATCTCACGAATATTAGCGCGGAACTTAGTCCAGGCGCACTTTTCCTCTAAAAGTGAAATCCACTTACGCCCAACCAGTTATCAGAGCTTTTCCACACTTCATGCCAGTGGAAACATTGCGGCATCATTCAGCGGTAAGAGTAGTATACTGGCAAGTCGTGAAATGATGTGATCTGGGAAGCTGCCAATCGCCATGTCGCAAATGTAAATAAGATGAGCCGAGAAAAGACCAGTTATAAGCTCATTTAGCAGATAACGCCATAAAACTTACAAATAGCATTCCTTTCGGACAACTTCGACTGTTTCTAGCACATGTTTGTCCTCTAACACCTAATCTACAGCGAGTGACCGATCTCATGTAGTATTGGCCAACATTGTGGAATGCGTTTTTGATTAGAAACGATTACTTAGGTGGGGTTGTAATATTGATTAATATGCAGCGTAATTCTATAGCATTTAGGACTCGCCAGGATTTCGGCTTTTAAATGCACTTCTTTTCGACCTCCTGCAAAAACCGCACTTGGTAAAAAATGACAACTTATTTAGCACGTATTTTTCCTATTGGTTTTTGATGGTCCTAAAACTTCAAATATATCTTATAGAAACCATGTACAAAATATGCTTTCTTTTGCTTCTTTGGTAGAAAATCACATTGTCTTCATTGTTTATACCCAAGGAAAGTGTATATTAAGGTTTTGAAAAATTTTCCCAGTTCCCGAATAATTTTGAGCCTGATCTGCCATCGCATAAGCGGTTTGCGATTTCAGTCTACAAGGTGCATGCTTTCCGCGTAAAAAAACATATATTCCTCTATGCTTTTTAGAAGATACCACATAAAGTTCATGAAATTTCTCAATGGATCCGGACTGTGTTGTACATTTCATGAGGAGCATTGGTAAACGGACGGGTATGAATGAACATTGAACGGTCTCGAAAAATCTCATGATTAGAGAATTCTTTAAATTGAAGGGGAAGTTTGTTGCACTTGTTAATGGACTGGGAGCCACTAAACCATGATTCAAATAGCTCCCGGTTCACGCGGTTGTCACCTCTAGCGAGAATTTCGGCCTCGTCGAATTTGGATGTGTGGCCTGATCTCGTCGAATGAGCCGCAACTTGAGAGCTGACGTTATTTCTCCGCACCGCTGCAGCGTGTTCGGTCATACTCGTTCGGAGCTGTCTTCTGGTTTCTCCAAAGTAGTAGCTTTGTCCGCAACTGCACCAGATCCGATAAACGACTCAATACGTTCCTTGCAGTGGTAGCAGTTCTTATGGTTTCATTATCTGACGCCTGATGGTTGCCTCTGGTCTGTGCGCAACTCCAAACCCAAGAAACGTCAGGCTAATAAAGCTGTTGTCCCAGCGATCGTGTCTCCTTCAAGACGACTTCCTGGAACTCGTCTCTTCGATTGTAGTTTGATGTGGCTCCGGAAGGTGAGCGCCACTCCTAAATAAGTGAATATACGGGATGGCTGGTGAGAGGATGTGCGACAGAAATTCAATCAGCAGAAGGCTTGAGACAAATATTTGCTGACCAGGCGACCCAGGTTTGTGTGTCCGGTCATCCAGAACGATGAGTCGTGGTACGGCCGACCGACGGCGACAAATAATTCAGAAATGAATATTCCAAACTCGCCTGTCTTTTTCGGCAACGATTCTGGATTTCCATCGCTTACCCTATGTTGTGTTAACGTGGAATCATCAGCTGCACATCGAAAATTCAAAGAATGTACTGGGGAGTGCATGACGAAATCCGGGAGATTTATCGATAGAAGTGAAAATGCGAGTTTCAGGAACTAGTTGATCAGAAGAAGAAGAAGAAGAAGATGAAGAAGAAGAAGAAGAAGAAGAAGAAGAAGAAGAAGAAGAAGAAGAAGAAGAAGCGATCGCTGGAACAAGATCTTTATTCGTCTGACGTTTCGGATTCTCACTTAAATCCACCATCAGAGACAGTAGCAGAAAAGGGTGACTCGTTCACAGGAAGTTGCAGTATTTATAGGATGCAGTCGCTATGCTACCACATGCCTATAGCAATTAACGGCGCTCCCCTTCATGAAGAATCGTTGCCTGCTGGTGCGCTAATTGCTTGCTGGCCGGCATGCAAGTTGTTAATTACCGAAATGTCATCACCGGTGTTGGATGCTGGCGTGATGATTGCTCGGCCATCTGTCTCACCGGCTTGCGCGCGCCCCGAGTGGTCAATTATCTTGGCCAGCCCATGCCTCAGCACGGAGTATGGAGTGGGCATGTCGTTGCACTTGTTGATAGATTGAGGTCCCGTGAACCATGACTCAAGCAACTCGCGGCTCACACGATTATCCCCTCTCGCGAGAATTTCGGCCTCATCGAACTTGAATGTGTGGCCGGGTCTCGTTGAATGGGCCGCGACCTGAGAGTTGGCGTCATTCCTCCGTACCGCTGCCGCGTGTTCGACAATTCGCGTTCGGAGCAGTCGTCCAGTTTCTTCGACGTAGTTGCTTTGTCCGCAACTGCACCAGATCCGGTAAACGACTCCAGATGTTTCATGCCGTGTCAGTGGGTCTTTTGGTCTCATCACCTGACGCCTCATGGTGGCCTCCGGTCCGTGTGCAGCTCCAACCCCAAGAGGTGCAAGAAGACGGCTAACGGCCTCGGAGACTTTCTTGATGTACGCGATCGCTCGCCAGAATTTGGGGTCGTCACGGTTTCGTCGCTGGTCTCGTTTGCGCAGGCACTGGTTGACGAAGTTGCGCGGGTAACCATTTTCTCTGAAAACCCGTCGAAGATATTGGAATTCGGCAAATTTGTCTTCCGGTTCACTGCAGTGCGTCTCAACACACCGGCCCATTGTATCGCTCAAAGGCACTCTAACGTACGGACAGGCAAAATGCCTGTTTCGGCGCCTCAAATTTTTTACCGCTGATTCGGACACCACCGTCTGTTCGTCAACACAATTCATGGAGAAGCTTAAAGGAGTAAGTCTCTTGCCCAATGAGGTCATGGTATCTTTTGATGTCACGTCCCTCTTTACTTCTATCCCCCAGGATCTGGCAATCGAGACCGTCCAGCTACTCCTACGAAACAAGTTCAATGAAACGGAGAATCGTCTCAGACATGCCCAAGTCCTTCAGCTCCTAAAGTTCTGTCTCAAGACGTACTTCACTTTTGACGGAACAATCTACGAGCAGTGAAGGGAACACCAATGGACTCGCCGATCTCGGTCTTCATCGCCAAGGCGGTCCTACAGCGGTTGGAGTCGCTGGTCTTCCAACACAACAGACCGAAATTCTGGGCTCGGTATGTGGACGATACCTTCGTCGTCATCGAACGGAATCAGGTGCTAACGTTCAAAGAACGTCCCAACAGCGTCTTCCCGGACATACAATTTACGATGGAGAACAAAGCAACTACGTCGAAGAAACTGGACGACTGCTCCGAACGCGAATTGTCGAACACGCGGCAGCGGTACGGGGAAATGACGCCAACTCTCAGGTCGCGGCCCATTCGACGAGACCCGGCCATACATTCAAGTTCGATGAGGCCGAAATTCTCGCCAGAGGGGATAATCGTGTGAGCCGCGAGTTGCTTGAGTCATGGTTCACGGGACCTCAATCTATCAACAAGTGCAACGACGTGCCCACTCCATACTCCGTGCTGAGGCATAGGCTGGCTAAGGTAATTGACCACTCGGGGCGCGCGCAAGCCGGTGAGACAGATGGCCGAGCAATCATCACGCCAGCATCCAACACCGGTGATGACATTTCGGTAATTAACAACTTGCATGCCGGCCAGCAAGCAATTAGCGCACCAGCAGGCAACGATTCTTCATGAAGGGGAGCGCCGTTAATTGCTATAGGCATGTGGTAGCATAGCGACTGCATCCTATAAATACTGCAACTTCCTGTGAACGAGTCACCCTTTTCTGCTACTGTCTCTGATGGTGGATTTAAGTGAGAATCCGAAACGTCAGACGAATAAAGATCTTGTTCCAGCGATCGCTTCTTCTTCTTCTGATCAGTTTTCTCCGTGTTGATGATCACGCCGAAGTTCTCGCAGGCGGCAGAGAAGAGATCCATGCCCCCTTGCATATCCCACAACACAAACACACACTCTAGCTATCACAACACAACAGTAGAGAGGGAGATGGAGCGAAATAGGGACAACGGCCTGTAGGAGGGTAATGGACACCAAGCAAATTCTCAGGATTCCCTACAGCCGTTCGGTGGCTCACAAACTAAGATATCTGTGCACACTCTTAAGACGGACCCAGGTTCGAAACAACAACCCGGAAGATAAAGCACGTGAAGGTCCATGTTTCCACTATCGTTTTATGTGGAATGGCTTTCTGAAAGCGCATATAAGCCGATGTCTACATATTTGTCCCCGGTGAACCCAAGCGAAACCTACACCGACGATATGACATGCTCCGCCACACACCAAGGGCGTTTCTGAGGCGCTTTAGCGCATTGTTGTTGGATTAGGTGTTGGAAATACACATTGGCCTAAGACTATTGTGCGCAGTAGAGTCATGAAAATCAGGAACCAATTAAATCCCAGTTAGCAGTCGGGTGCAGTATATCGTTTCCCATGCCTAAAGTGTTCTAGTAATTGTACAGGTCACAATAAACGTATGCTGAAATTGCAAACACATGGACATAGGCTGACTGTGCGACGGGGCAACAAACTACTGCAATTGGCTGCCCACGCCCTCGAAAAGGGCCACGAATTTAATTTCGCAACTGCCAGGATAATCGTCCACGCTGGAAACAAGACAGACCGAAAATTGGTTGAAACCTTGTCCTCATATGAAAACTCAATCGGTCGATGCATCGGTTTGGTAATGGCATACACAGTCCTGAGTAACCATCCCCAGGACTGTATCATTGATGTTGGATTAACTACTACCCCCTTTAACTATTGCTTGCTCTGCTGTTGTCTTTACTTCCGACAATGAACGCCTGCAGGAGTCCGAAAGCTCGGGATAAATTAATGGTTCCGACGCCTGACCAGACTTCTTCGTTCTTTTTTATACACCTGGAATTCCGACATCCTCTTCCGTTTGTAATATATATTCCTTTTCCTAACAACGGTAACGCATGTTAAGGAGCCACCCAATCGCCAGGTGCAGATGAATTTAATTGATCAAATGATTCCTTTTCAGTCGGTTATACCGTTCTTTATTTCCTCAGATATGATATCTATCACCCGGTGTTGGAGGTACATAGGCAATATAGGGAACAAAGGTCACGCAGGCCTGTCACCGGTCAGCTCCGGGGAGGTCAAGGCCAGTCAGCGGTAAACAGGCAGGTCAAAGTTCGTGCGTCCACGGCTATAATACGAGGCAAGCGGCAAGACTTAACAACTCAAGACCGCCAAGTGCAACAAGTACGCTATTCTGATGATGGAAACGAGGACGTTTCCGAAACGTCAGTTCGAATACAAAATGGTCCATGAATTCGCCCTCTCTTCTTCTTCGTCTTCTTCGGGAGATGATGAACGCGATAGGTAATATCTGTGTATGACCATTTGAAGACCGTGTGTTGCCTACAACCTAAAATTAACTGAGCTAGTTTTTGAAGGTTTGATTTTCGTAACAAATAAATGAGTTGCTTTATTCAGTACCCCTACTGCCCTACATGAAGTATTTACTGAAGAAACTTTGCCTTTTCTCTTTCTCGGTGTTAACCTTGTCTACCTTTAGACAGTGTTTTTAAATTCGAGTCAATTTCCCATTCAGTCCCAACCTACAGTTCTAAACTCATAGTCTGCGCGACCTTCTTCATCCGCTGGCCCTTAATATGACATTCCGTTGATGTAAGCACTATGTTTCTTGCTTTTCGCTGGAGCCCCATCGTATTTACAAATTTGTTACAAAAGCGCGTCTGCAAAGGACATTTTCCCTTGATCCTTCTGGTTCTGGTCTGCTTATTTTTTTTAATCGATGCTGCTTTTCGACAGTTATTTTCAGCGCCACTGTGTAATTTCTTCATTACGAGCCTCTTCTTGACCCATTCTATTCGACATATCCGATGTGACTTTCATCAGACTCACGTGAAAATTACACATATTATAATTTATAGTTGCGAAAATTCCCATGGAAGTACTCAGGAGACTGGCTGGCGAACCTGGTAAAATTATAAATTTTGAAAGTGTAAATTTGTGAATTGTTGATTCCCAACCCTACCTGATTTCTTCTCCACTACAGCACAGAACATAGAACTACCAGTGGTTAGATCACTTAAACAATACACGGGAATGCGTTGCTTGTCCGTATATATCTAGTTTGGACTCCCTGCCGAGTTACGAAACATATCATCATGGAGTCTCGAACAGCAATTTCTGCGAAAACAAAAATTGTATCCAAAAGACAATTTGGCGAGCATACGTAAGCTTTCGGTAAATTCTCATCAGGCCTATAAATTTATATCGCTATCGAAATTATTAAAAGGAAAATGCGGGCAAGCAGAAGTTATTCTGTAGCTGGGGTTTGGGGGAGGGTCTGGGTGGGTGAGGTGAAAAACAAAATTACCTTCAGTGCCAGGGGGAGAAGTGGATGGTGGGCACTGGTACGGGTAATTATACGCAAAGCTCTTTCGACGGAACGGGTACCCCGGATCGATTCATTGCCAAATACATGACCGGAAGACCACTAAAGCTCCCGATGCCGACGGCAGAAAAGAAGAAGCTTCTCATCAGGGTCCCGTTTCAAGGGGACGCGCCAAGTGAACTTCTAAGAAGGCGCATAACTCAAGCTATATCACGCCCCTTTCCAGCAGCTGACGCCCGTGTACTCTGCTCCACAAGTCCCATCCTACACGGAGAGGGTAAGGACAAACTGCCGGCCCAGACCACTTCTTTGTGTATTTACTCCTTCACCCGCTCCTGTGGGGCGGAATATGGTGGTCGCACGAGTGGGAGTTTGTCCAAAAGAATAAGAGAACACCTTCCAGCATGGTTAGGAAAGGGCCAAATAAAGAACGTCAACAGCTCTATCCTCACTCACATGGTAGACACAGATCACTGTGTAGATACCGGGCAGGCATTTCGAGTGATTTACAAGGTCCCGTCAAGCTGTCCAAAATTACTTGGATAGCGACTGTTGACAACAGCAGAGGCGGCTGCAATCAGGCTATACAAACCAGTTCTATGCGCACAAAAGAACTTCGTACAGGCCCCACAGTTGCCATGGGCCAAAGCCACCATGCCGGCCACCTGCGTATAAATACCCGTTCCAGTGCCCACCATCCACTTCTCCCCCTGGCACTGAAGGTAATTTTGTTTTTCACCTCACCCACCCAGACCCTCCCCCCAAACCCCAGCTACAGAATAACTTCTGCTTGCCCGCATTTTCCTTTTAATAATTTCGATAGCAATATAAATTTATAGGCCTGATGAGAATTTACCGAAAGCTTACGTATGCTCGCCAAATTGTCTTTTTAATTCTTCAATGAGAATTTTCGCTACTCAAGAATTAAATCCAAAATTAACTCTGCTTCCCGCTCTCCCTTGCCTGTCTTTGGCTCTACAAAAGACACCCTCTCCACGAGAAATTACTCAAATAAGGTGAAACCAGTTTGCCCAATTTATGCTTTTTTCGCATCTATAGCGTTGCTGGCTGTTAGATGCAGGTAATTGTTTCCTCTGAGCAGCACACAATTTAGGCAAACGCTACTGTGATACACCTTTTCTCCATCCACACTGATGATCTCAGGTCCCCTAATGACTGTCTTCTGATCAAGTATGCTGACGATGTGGTTGTTGGACACCCTCTCAAAAGTCAGACACACCTCCGGTCTCTAAAGGATGGCCTAAACCATGTCCTAGCGTGGTCGGAGGAAAATGGTCTCC